CACAAACACGCGCGTGTTGTGTACACACAACACACAAACACGCGCGTGTTGTGTACACACAACACACACACACGCGCGTGTTGTGTACACAAACACACAAACACGCGCGTGTTGTGTACACACAACACACAAACACGCGCGTGTTGTGTACACACACACAAACACGCGCGTGTTGTGTACACACACACAAACACGCGTGTGTGGGGGGGAGCGGTAGTGTAGCGGTTAGAGCGCTGCACTACGAACCCGGTGACCCGAGTTCGATTCCTACTCATGGCCACCAGCAGTGACGATTATCTGAACCGGTCCTGGGCCTCCCCTAGGTGGACTCAACCTCAAATCAGTACCAGGTGCGGTGTGTAAACATCGGCACTGGGCAGACAAAGGCGGTCGGGCGTGGTACTACCCTCCCACCCCCTCGTGTGACGTGGCCGTCTTCATAGCTGCTCGCTAACAGCACTTGTCCCTACAGTCTATTAAGGTTATACAGGCGATCTTTGTATTTGTCTTGTGTACACGCACGACCAACCCGGCCATCCTGTCGAAGGCTAATGTCCCCTTCTCAAATTCTCAGTCAAGTCAAATAATTGAGAATAGCAAAATAAATATTAGCTTTGGCGAAGGAAAAGCCTTCAGAGAGCTTCGATTAAATAAAGAAATGCTAATTTTGTCAGCTGATAAAGGCCGCACTACTGTAGTGATGTCCCCAACAGATTATGATAATAAAATTAAAGATTTACTGGAGGAAGATGCCTACATTAAAATTAAACGAGATCCAACCAATACTTTAGAACGCAAGACTTCTGCAATCATTGCGAATTCATTAAACCCCAAGACTGTGCAATACCAAATTAAGCCACGGGCCTCAAAACCCCCAAGATTATATGGGCTACCAAAGATTCATAAAATCGGTATCCGATTACGTCCCATAGTAAGTATAATAGGCTCTGCCACATATATATTAGCAAAATATGTAACTAAACAAATACAGCCCTACATCGGTAGGACATCTTCATTTATAATAAATTCAGAACAGCTTGTGAATGTGATTAAATTTATTAAACCTAACCCTAATGATATTCTGGTGAGTTTTGATGTGATTTCTCTATTCACTAAGGTTTCAGTTAACGAGTCACTTAAATTATTTGATCCACTCGTAAAGAAGACAGGTTTACCAAAGGATATTCCAAAACTAGCTGACCATTAAATTTTGACTTAAAACTTTCGTGACTGCAGGAATTCATATTCTTTGGTTGTTTCGATAAAGTCACGTAGATATGAAAAGAAAGTGAATTAAAATAATAATGAATTTTTTTTACATAAAAAACAAAAAAAACACTATTGTAGACTGTAGCCTGGTTATTAATCTGTGTGAGTGTACTGGCAGTCTATAATGTAGACTGTAGCCTGGTTATTAAGTTTGGTGAGTGTACTGGCAGTCTATAATGTAGACTGGAGCAATGGTTATTAAGCTTGGTGAGTGTACTGGCAGTCTATAATGTAGACTGTAGCCTGGTTGATAACCTCAGTGAGCGTACTGGCAGTCTATAATGTATATTGTCTACATTATAGACTACCAGTACACTCACCAAACTTAATAACCAGGCTACAGTCTACATTATAGACTGCCAGTACACTCACGCCGATAAAAAAAAAACCAGGCTACAGTCTACAATAGTTTTTTTTTTGTTATTCACTTTATTTTTATTTTTCTATCTACGTGACTTTACCGAAAAAAAAGAATAGCTGACCATTGTCTAAATAACACTTATTTATACTGGTAGGAACCTCCTGGTTGCACCAGCCCACAGGGGATTATTGTGTCCGTCCGGCCGTCGTGCATCCAAAAATGGGAGGGGTGGGGCTGGGTGGGGAGGGGCTGGTCACCCCGTGGTGCCCTTATAAAACTCAACGTTTAACCTACTCACGCCGGCTTGTGCCCACCCTCACAGTCGGCTATATTTGCGGAATACACAACGCCGCCATTGACCCTGGCCATTGACCGAGCAACCCAACGTTCCTACCAGCTCCCTCCGCAGGAATGTGTTTATGGAGAGGTGACTTCTTTAAACCAAAGGAAGGAGCAGCAATGGGCTCTCCTTTGTCTCCTGCTATAGCAAATCTGTACATAGAAAACTTTGAAACAAGAGCACTTGCATCAAGTACATTAAAACCATAATTTTGGTTTAGATATGTCGATGACACTTTGGTTGTCTGACCACATGGTAAAGATACACTTGGTGATTTTTTTTTTACAATCTCAATGAACAATACCCAGCCATCCAGTTCACCATGGAAATGGAGGTGAACAACACATTCCCCTTCCTGGATATTTTGCTAGGACGCGGTCAAAATGCTAAAATAACACACCAAAAGGGAACGCACACTGATGCCTATCTGAATGCAGATTCGCATCATCACCCAGCACAGAAATCCTCTCTCATCAAGACGCTCACACATCAGGCTAAAACAGTGTCAGATGGTGAAAGTCTAAGGAGAGAGATTAAACATGTTAAAGAAGCACTAAGACTGAATGGCTACCATAATGCTCAAATTAACAGAGCAGTGAATGCCAAACCAAGACCGAACAACAATACAGCTGAAAGTGATCAGATTATCAAAACAATTTAAATACCATACATCTCGGGAGTTACTGACAAATTAGCCCGTGTTTTTCAAAATCAAAACATTAAAGTGAGATTTGGTACGGTACACAAATTCAAAAACGAGTGTTTTGTACTAAAGATGAATTACCGAAGGCATCAACAGAAGCAGGTGGATATCGGATCAATTGCTAGTGCGGTAAATGCTTTATTGGACAGACGGGACGTAACATTAGCGTACGACTAAAAGAACACCAAAGGAACATTACATTCTCTCAATCACAGCTGTCATCAGTGGCAGAGCAATGCTTGCCAACAAGGACACTCAATTGATTTTGATAACGTTGAAGTGTTATGCAAAACTAATTATTACTGCCCAACACTAATTAGAGAATCCATCGAAATTGAGACAAATACAAATAATTGTAACCGCTCTGATAGCTACAGACTTAGTACATACTAATTAACCGATTACTAATATATTATATAATTACAATACCCCCCCATCTACGCCTCTGATCTCGAAACGTGATGAGGTTCAACAACGATGACGCCGTCCTGCACTATTTAAGACCGAAGGTGCTGGATGTAATTACCAGCGAAACGTCGTTCTGAAATTCTAAAAGTTGTGGATTCGCTCTTCAAACACACCGGTGGGCTGAAGAAGTAACTAATTGGCGATTTGTCAACGCGACACATTTTTGTTACTGATTGGCCGTGTCGTGTGGTGGAGGGTTGCGACACATTTATAATAACGCGATCTAACCCAAAAACCTTTATCATGAATAACACCGGTCGCAAAAGCCTACGTGTTTAAAAGTCAAATAAGGGTTGGTACAATCATTATTAACACCAGCGGTTGTTTTTCCTCAGCTTTTCCACTTATACTCCACAAGCTGGAAGGG